GGGAGGTGGGGGGTGGGAGGTGGGAATACTCAGATATGTAGAAGAAGTGTGGCATTGTTATTCTCGATACGATAGTATGTGGTGTAGAGCTACAGCATGCAGACACAAAGTATTCAACCGCCCTTGGTGTTCATATCTCCTGGTACCAATATCTTCGGAACATTTAAATCTTTGGTGCTAAATCTTTTGCTCCTTCCATTTATGACTCATATCACCCAAGAACTGTGGCAATAACATCCTGTCGTTTGCGGTTTCTTATTTTGATATAACTTATCCTGAGATGGTGCCCCACATCTTAGTTTCTAGGTGTTATTGGATCTTTGGCGAAGGTGGCGGCGACTATGAGGGGGAAACAGGCGGTGGCTTCTAGGTATACCTGTGTACTTGTCAGCTAACATAATCTTCCCAAATGACTTGACTCGACAGAAGAGAACAAGAAGCAAAAAAGGAATAAAAACAAGAGAGATAACAAAACGAGAACAACTAACTTTAACACTATCCGCCCCAGCCTTAATCTTTCCCCAACTCACAGCCTCATCTGGTCTTGCTCCAGCATCACTGCCATCAAATTCCTGCGCCGTGTTAATATAGACCGCACTCTCGGCCCCGTTCCTCATCAAACACGCATTCGCAATGTGATGTTTAATCACGCCTCCACCCAGTATGATCATCCCCGCTCTCTTCGCACGAACAGCCATAGTATTAATCTTCCTCACATCCTCAATCGTATCCATAATCAGGCGTCTCGGCGACGCCTTGAAACTATGAAAGTACAACATATCCCCCAAACTCCCATCCGTGAGCGCCGGACAGAAAATAGGGATATCATTCTTGGCAGCCCAGTATAAAACCGAGCGTTCGTCGTTAATTTTCAAACCGAGTCGATGGATGATCTTACTCGGTGTCCAGACTAATTTCTCGTCTGAGGGAACGTTGGGGTCGGCAGCTGAGGCTTCTTGTTCATCCAGCAGTTTGTCGAGAATGGGCATTACCCAGTCTTCGAATTTGCAGTAGTTTGAATTGGGCACGATCAGGTTTCCGATGCGATTCAAACCTTTGGAGCGCAGAGAGGCGCCGGGCGTGCTGAATGCGCCCATGTATGTGTCGCCCAGACATTTTATTAGGTCCTCTTCAATTCCTCCCGCGGTCGTGACGATGGCGGATACGTAGGAGTGTTCGGCGAGGAAACGAAATGTGCCTCGTAGACCGGAGGAGATGAGATTCGAGGTGTATCCGAGGAATATGGTGGTCTTTTCGCCAGATTCGGGGTCGCGCCATGCTCGCTGGGGATGTTAGTTGTGTTATGTATTGCGACTTGCGATTTGCGACTTGCGGACATGGAGGGGTAATGGAGGGGCACAAAGCGAAAACCCTCACCATGTCATGGATTATCCGCACAGCGTCCCCAATCGCACTGGCTTGGAAGCCCATATTACTCATAGGACTTATCAGTTCGTCCACGGTAATGGGCCGACCTGCGAGATTATTAAAGTCGAGCTCTTCGACTTTTTGGGAGCCCGCAGGCATTTCTCCATGGACGAGGACAGCATCTGTGACTGAGGACGGAAGGCCTTCCTTCTTGCTGGTATCAGAGACACCATTGGTCTCCGCTGCTGGCGCCGAAGAGGCCATTTGGTTGTGATGGTGGGGTTGTGTGCTGGGAATGAACTTTTGGAGGCAAAGAAATCTTTTGATGTTGGGATCGTGATTTTCCTACCTACAGAATTACGTACAGTACCACTAATTCATCTTACCTTACTGCTCCAAGTGCTGTGATGTTGAACAGAAAGGACTGGGATCAAGCGTCTTGGATTTTGATTCTGAGCGCAATTGACATTCAACTGTAGGCAGTATCAGACTTGGGTTATGAGTCTATGACCTAGCTGGTCTAGGTCAGAGTTGCACCAGTACTGAATTTCCATCTCGGCCCGGACTTTCAAGATTGGATTTATGATACTGTACCCCGCAATACTTGATACAATAATTTCCGTACGAGTAGTGCGGGGTTTCAACTGTAATTAAATCTTTGCAGATTGACTGTCGTATAGGTATCATGTATACATCCATAGCAGCAAGTGAATAGGTAGTCAATATTACAATTGCCCTCAATTTTGAGGCTCTTTCATTTGGAGTTGACGTAGTCATCCTAAAATAGCCCCTCATTAAATAGTTCTGGAGTACATAGGCGACATCAAAGTTCCGTCTGCCACCGACTCGCGTAAAATTTCTGTCGGCACTACTGTAATGTGATGAATGTCTGTCATTTAAGAGTACGTTGACGTTGGCACCATCATTTTCTTGGCGTGCTAAGAGTGCAGTGCTTACAATTCATTGGGATCAAGACACCCTTGCATACCATTGTCATTGGCTGGTACTGGCTGTGAACATTCACAAAGCGGCACTGTACTGGCTAGACCATTGACCAGGGGGAGGGTTGAATCCTAGGGAGTAAAGGACGACTAAAGACTATGTACACCTTGTACACTTTGTACTCAAATAATAAGAACAATAGCTTTGTTTTAGACACCATCAATCAATCATTATCACTCTCATCATCTTCAAAACTACTACTCCCTATCAGACTAGCTCAACTAGGTATAGGTACTGCCAAAGCACTACTACACCACTACTCCTACTACTACACTACTACACCACCCAACTCATCTCAGCGTTTTCACACCGTTGCGGCGCATGAACATGTCATTACCAACGCATCCGCGATGCATCAAACCTGCCTCTTGGCAATAGGATGCCTTTGTGTCCTCTGCGGTGGTGGGCGTGGCATTCCGACGTCACCATGGTCCATGCTGCCATCTCCCATTTCGAGAGCCGCCCTATCATTGCAGAACCCGTTTCCACTGGTCGCCAAACCTGGCCTTGCCGATTTGTCCACCCTACTCGTACCCAGCCACATTTTGCTGAGCTTAAAAATACCCCTGTCCGACGTGCCTACAGCCTACCACCACCTGGGCACCGACTAGCGTCCCTACTAGCCTTGACTAGTCTTGAACATGGACCTTCACAAATCCAAGACCATAGACGCATCAACAACCTCATCCAGGTCAAGAGACCACGCATCTACACCACCATCTCTGCACAGGAGCCATCATATCCATTGACTGGTCCTGCATACCACCACACTCCCTACGACGCTCCACCAGTTCATCCCTCAACTGCATCAAGTGTCTGCTTTCCTCACGCTCGTGGCCGCAACGCACCGCAACTCATGTGTCAGTAGGCCGAACCATAGGTACATCTGAACGTGGGGTTAATTTGTTGCACAACCGATCTCATTCGGTCCTTCAACTTCATCAACACACCTACTGCGTCGTTGTGCAAACATCTGGGGCCATTGCCCAGCACCATGAATGTCGGTTGACTCCCCTAACCACCGCCCAGCTAGGCTGACATCGTCCAGGTCGTCGCGAAATCAAGGATATGACGCTGCCGAGTCTCGACGCTCTCCGCGAGATCGTTCCCCAGGGCGATATAACGACCAGCGCGATACTGATCAATATAGGGGAGGTGCCTTTCGAGGTGGTGGTGAACGACGTCGCTCAATTCCAGATGCACGGTCAAACCACAACGCATTTGCCTCTAACAACAGAGAACTATTCACAGAGCCTACCAGGCGTGACTCCGCCAGGGATTTCTCGTCGCGGGAGCCTCCAAGAGGTCCCAAAGTGGGCCATGTTGGTACTAAACTACCGCTAGATGCCCCAACGGGCCCTCGAGCCTCGACTTATGGCGAGTTTCGAGGCGAAGCTAGTTTTCGAGGAGAATTTCGAGGGCGCGGTAGCCGCGGTCGAGGGCGAGGATGGCGGGACGATAGTCGAGATCGGGGACGTGATGCCGACCGTGAATACAGAGAGAGAGATCGTAGAGATGAACGCGGTCCGCCACCTTTTCGGGACGACAGAAGCCGCGATCGGGAGAGATGGGAGCGCGACAGCTTCAGAGGACGTAGGGCTTCATCTCCTCAAGGTCGAGGTCGGTCACCAAATTATGGAACTCGCGATGCAAGAGATGGCCCTCCAAGTCTGGATTTGGATCGAACGCATCGTAATCAAAGAGATACTCCACTATCAACAGTGTCACCAAATTCCGATCTCAATCAACCGTTCGTTAGAGGCTATGGCAGGGCAAGAGGTGGGCGAGGACGTGGGAGAGGTACGTACTACGATGACTACCATAGACCAGCATCTGTCCGAAGCCGCTCCCCTGAACCAATCTTTACTCGTCGACCTTTACAATCCGCCACCCCTCCTCCGCAAGTACCTGCATTTGGCTCGGCTTCAATAAAAGCGTCGACCCCAGTGACCACGACATATCCTGCTTCTATACATTCCGCGAACCCATCATCATACGCGACCCCTGCTGGAGCACTGAATTCCGCCAACTCTAATTCACTACCCGCTTCGATACCCACAGGCCCTCGAGTGGGCGGGCTAGGGCCACCTTCCCGCCAAAATGTAATTCCTGGAGGGGGTAGCAAGCAAAACTCATCAACATGGACGAAAACCTATGATCGCCCCTCTCCCGAGATGCGCGAGGGTTTCGGACGCGATAACGAATTGTTCCCTAATCACGCGAGACACGAAGGATCCGTTCAAGACAACATCTCAATCAATGGTTCTGTAAATGAGGACAATCCCCATTCTTCCCATACTAGGCCATATAACGATCGACCCATTGAACTGTTTCCTGACAGACAGGAGACCATAATCAAGAAGCGTCATCCATCTCTTGGGAGACGTCAGCCGAAGCTTCAATCTCCAGCACCAGAAGAGTCTGATATCGAACCCGATTCTGACTCCGCCGATGAACTTGGTGATACCTACTTTGAGGAAACCATTGCGAAGCTACAGGAAAGTATTAAGGGTGAGAAGGAGAAGAATCCCTTGTTGCCTCGGCGAACGCCAATTGTGGCTTCAGATTGGAACTCACTCATGGTACCGATAATTGACAATACAGCCGACGAGACTTGCGAAGCTCCGATTGTCCATCAAGAGCCTAAACCCGAGCAAACGAAAGATGTTACTCTCTCCACACCGAGTCCCGTGCGAGTAGACAAAGCAGATATACCCAAGGGTCAAATCACGCCCGCAGAAGTACCTGCCAAGGAAACACCTAGGAATGAGCCAGATGTTGCCCAGAACTCGACGGCTATAGCACCAATATCGCCTCAAGTTGAACCATTACCAGAAAAAGACGAGAAGGGTTCAGTGGAGGATGTACCGGTTGAAAAGGAGAAAGATGTCCCTGAACATGCATCAATGGAACCCCAATTGAACGAGAGCATACTGAATAAACAAAACACTTCCAAGGATGTCAACGTTGAGGAAGCACCCGAGGAAGCACCCAAGGAGGCATCCAAGGATGAAGCACCAATAGAGGAACCTGTGATTGAGAAGCCGCAGGCCGCTGCTGAGGATACTCTTGCTGAGAAGGTTGAAGTTGCACAAGTAGAAGCTGATGTACATGCAAATCCCTCTGCTCCCGACACCCATGACACGGATATGGCGGATGTGTCGCCACAACAGCAGCCTGCTACAATAAAAACCGTTATAGCAAGTGCCATTCGAAATCGGGAATCAGAAGCAGATGATGTTGAGGACGCACCTCCAGAGCCTTCCAAGTCAAAGGAGATTCCTGTTTCGCTGGAAATCAATAGTAATCATCCATCTCTTATTCCGACAACGGGGCATGGTAGGACTGCTGATCACAAATCCCCTATTCTAGACTCTGCCGATCTGCACAAAATTCAAGATGTTGAAATGTCAAACGGCCATGTTCCAATGGATCTTGATGAGGTTGAGGAACATTTTCCTACTAAGCCAATGACCAACGGCAACAAGGTTTCTCCAAGGCTCGATCAGTTTAAGGAGAATGACACTTCTCTTAGTGATTGTGAAAGGGAAGAAGAGCTTGAAGCTGTCCGTCGGATGATGAAAACCCCACCTCTGAGTAGCTTGCCTAAGCCTCAGGTGCCATGTTTCTGGAATGATTCAGTCGTTGTTACAGAACTGGAAGTTCGCAATTCCAATGTCGAAGCGGAGGTTCAAAGGCACGTACAAGACACAAAAGCACGTAGACAAACGGAAGAGGAAAACGATGGTCAGGCGTGGGCGAAACGATATTATGATTATCGAAAGTTTACGGACTTTTCTATGGATCCTGCTGCCGTTCGTAGCAGGGAGAAATTTACCGCTTCACGAGCTCGAGCTGAGGCAGAGGCCTCTGCTCCTTCTTTATCCGCAGCTGCATCAGCAAGCGCCAAACCCGAAGGCCGCCGTACAGGAAGATGGGCCACCGAACACGATTTTGAGAGAGTTTTGCGTGAATCTGAACTGGAGGCGAAGGAGAAAAAAGATCATGATGAACGCTTGGCTCGAGCCAAAACTGCGAGCGCAAAAGAAGCTACGATTCCTGCTATGATGGATGGGCAATGGTGGTTGGAGAATGGCTTTGCCGACAAGTCTCACTTGGTCCCATTCAACAGATCGTTCGCATTGCTCGAGTACGGTGAGCCGGTTGACAATTTCACTCCAGAAGAATCTGAAATCTTCGAAAAGGTGTATTTGGAAAATCCGAAGAACTGGAGCCAGGTCGCGGATGCCTTGGATAATCGGGATTTCAAGGCGTGCATTCAGCATTATTATCTGGTGAAGCATTCTTCGAAATTAAAAGACAAATCCAAGGTGGGAAAGAAGAAGAAGGGTAGGCAACCTGGAAGGTCAGCAAAACCAAAGTCGAATGCTCTATCCGCAAGTCTTGGCACTGGTGATGATACTGAGGAGACCCAAGAGACCGAGAGTGGTGAAAGAAAAGGCCGGCCTAGGAGAGCTGCTGCTCCGGTCTGGCCCATTGGTACAACACCCACCGACACTGATACAAGCACTCCAGCTCCTGCGCCAGCTCGCAAAGCAAATGCTACACTGAAACCCGAACCAGGTAGTGAATCCGGTCCCGCGAAGAAAAAGGTGAAGGTTGCCAGAGAGAAATCCTCGAAACAGGGAAAGAATAATCAGCTTCTTGCAGCGGCACCAATTGCCTCCACGGGTCGTCGTGATGGTTCTCCGGCTACACCGGCTCCTGAGCCAAAGAGTGGTCGAGCTTCTGCTGGCCCCAATAGATTTCCCATCCAGTTTGAAGGTCCTCCGCAACCTCAATCGATTCAGCCACAGTCTGCTATTGTTCCACAATTCGTACCTGGTGGACGGCCGGCTAACATAGAGCCCTTTACCGAGTTTGGACCTCAAAACAAATCACCCTCTACATTGCAATCAATGCTGCCACAGCAACCTGCACCCATTCCTAAAGCGCCTACGACTTCGCAATCACAGCCATATCCTAGCCAAGAACGGGTTAATTCCACCACGCCTCTCAGTTTCGACGCGCCACAAGATCGTCGTAGTATCCAACAGACCTCGAGTTATTGGAGTGTACCGGAACAAAACGACTTTGAGGCACTGTTGGAACACTATGGCACGGATTGGCCGGCCATAGCAAAGTGGATGACTACAAAGACCCATATTATGGTATATACCGACCTTTTTCAACAATGGCTTCTAGTGCCGTCTGACAGCAACAAGAGTCGACGTGTCGCTAACATTCAGGCACAGGTCAAGAATTATTACCAGCGCCAAGTAGACTCGGGCAAGAGACATTGGGCCGAGCTTACTAGATTGGCCGATGCAAGAAAGGAGCGTGGAGAAGTCCCTCCTCCATTACCCCCTCCTACAGTCATTCCCAAGCGGCGCTATGACGAGAGACCCGGCACTTTACCGGGTCCATCTTCTCATCCTTCGCGGACGGGATCTGCGCTTGATAACATGGAGGATATGGCATCTCCTGGTGCTAGTTCAATGCCTCCACGCAGCTCCCAAGCCTCTCCATCCCAACCACCTCCGGGTCTCAGTGCACGTTTTCCTGCCCTGGCCAATGCTGGCCCTGTGCCCCATATTCAACCAGCAACACCTGCTTCTATAATCAGCAAACAAGTCACTCCACAACCAGCTCAGCAAACGCAGCCCATCCAACAGACTGCCAGATCAAGGGGTCCACCACTCGGCTACTTTGTCACAGAGACGCAGCCACGACCGATTTTGCAAGCTGCTTCAAGCGATTCCAACCTATCTCAAAGATCACTTCAGGTTGCTCAAGAGGCTCAAATAGAAAGACAGTCAGCATTGCGTTTGGAAAGAGAGCAACGTGAACAACAGCAGCAGCGTGAGCAACAGCAAGCACGAGAGCAGCAGCAAGCACGAGAACAGCAGGCAGCACGAGAGCAGCAACAATTATTCCAACAACGCCAAGACATACTTCTCGAACAAGAGAGAAAACAACAACAGGATCTCAAGTTCAAGCAACAGCAGCAGCAGCAGCAACAGCAACAGCAACAGCAAAGAGAGGAGATCATGCGACCAAGGGAACAGCAGCAGCGCGAACAGCAGAAGAGAGAGTTACACATGTTTCAGCAACGACAAGAATTATCTGAGCAAGCTGAAAAGCAAAGAGAGGTTCAGCAAAAACAACTCCAGCAGCAAAGAGATGATCATCAACGAGAATTGGAACGAGAACGGGAACGCGAGCATCGCCAGCGCGAAGTGGAACGACTAGAAGCTAGAGCGTATCAAATGCATTTGAAGCAAGAGGGGCGCAACGAAGTTGCCAACCTTCAACAATTTGACCAATATTCAACAACTTCTATGCGGGATAGCAATGTGATGGCGCACTCTAGAGTTGAAGTAGCCCAACCAGTGCCTGAGAGGCGTCAACCAATAGAGCAATACCAGCCTCGTTCTCATCAAACTCCTCGAATGTTTGGAAACGACAAACCCCCAACTGGACCTCGAGAAATCCGTGAGCGCGAAATGAAGCCTAGTCCTTCCCCGGCACTATCACGGCCACCACCTACAGGTCCTTCGATGAGAAATGAACCGATGAGACACGACATGTACTCAGGGCCGCCGTCCCAGCCAAGACCACAATCTCAACCTCAACCTCAGCATCACCACCAGCCACATCCGCAAGTGCCTCAAGTTTCTGCTCTTCGTCAACAGGAACCGGTTAGGAAGACCTCGAATATAATGTCATTGCTGAACGATGATGAACCACCTCGGCCTGAACCGCCTAAACAGGTCAGCAATGTATCATCGGCCCCTCAACCTTCACACACACCACCTCCGCAGCACCCATTGCAAACAAGCCGGTTTTCTTCGCACCAACCAACAAGTCAACCCCCGCCACAAATGCAACAGCAAATACCAACTCAACCAGCTTCACATCATTCTCAGGTCAATCCCCAGCATCACGTTCCACACAGCCCTCATCCTTACTCTTCTCATGCTCCCTCGCATTCAATCCATCAACACAGCTCGTCAATTGGACATAATCGCAGTTACACACCTACAAGCCTCGAACGTAGGGGTTATGAAGCACCTCCACCGCAACAGACGCCGCAACAACCATCGATGTTTTCTCAGTCATCGCGGCAATCAATGCAGTCTCAGCCATCGATTCGTCGTGAGCAATCCCATGAGAATATGCACGGTTTAGCTGGGGGATATTCACGCGGTGGACCTGCTCCATCTGCGATGAGACTCAAAGAGTCCCCTTATTCATCAACCCCTCCTCCTGCAGCTAGTTCCTCGAATCGCCCGCCAGCGACATCGCCGCATGATCACGCCCAACCCTCGGAGCGCGAGTACTATGCTCGTCAGCCTCAAGCTCAGTATATTATGCAACAGCAGCAGCAAGCGGCGTCCGCATCGCCTCAAATTGCTCCTTATCAGCCACCATCTCAACAGCCGCCTAGTCACCGACAATTAGCTTTCGGCCAGAGAGAGTCACACATGGCGTCGCCTCCCGGACATTTCACGCAACAGCAACAAATTCAACGGTCTAGGCATAATAGTTTTGATGGTCGGTACCCAGCAGGTTCAGCTTCCTCGGGCTCAACTCCTTCACACTCGGGATATCCCCCACAACAATCTCATCCATCTGCTCACCCATCAATGCAATATGCGCATCAACTCCAAGATCGATATGAAAACAACTATGAACGTGAAATGAGAGAGAGAAGATTACAGGAGGAAGCAGCAGCCCAGGCACGGTACCATCATAATTTGCGCGAAGAGCGTGATCGACGTTGATGAGGGGGTTCCAATATATGTGGCCACCCGATGTATTCGAGGATTGGCATAGCAAACCGGGGCAAGAAAATAGAGGTCCAGAACATAATGATCTGATTGCGATGCTATCAAGGTCGGATTGTTTCTTGTTAGATTACGACATGAGTAGGAAGGAAGTACTTGACTCGACCTGGTTCAGAACTGAGAGACCAAACGGTCCATGTAATTTTTGTATGTATTGTAAGAATATGGCGAGCACGATCACGAATTCAGAGGAGAAAGTGAAAAGACACAAACGAGCGAGCAAGCGGGCGTTTTTTGTTTTGTTTCGATTTGTTATTTGGGAATTCTTTTTTTCGGGCAAATGGATATGATGGTTCTGGTATTCATGATACCCCCCCCCCCTTGCATCTGGAGGTTACTTTTTGTTCCCCGCTTTTCATCATCTTTTGTTTTTGTTGGGTTCTCCCTCGAGTGGTCTTTGCGGTTTCTTATCAAAACAAGATTTCGGGGCCGTGGTTGGGGGTTGGGGGGTGGGGGGTG